TTATGTTACAAGAAATTAAAAATGAAGTTAATTTTTTGTTAAAGTGGATTTTTTATAATAAGCATGAGAGAGAAAGAGAGAGAGAGAGAGGGAGAGAGAGAGAGGGAGAGAGAGAGAGAGAGAGTGGTAAAAATTATTCTCGATTTTATAATAATTTTAAAATTATCGATGTTGCTTTGGTAAAAAATTGGGATTGGTCTAATTATAAGTGAAAAGTCATTCGTGCGAAATATTTTATAATATTATATTTTATTTGGTTTTTTTCCTTAAAAAAAGAATGAACTTGAAATTGGTTGTCAGATTTCTTCTCTTGGATTCTGGCGAGTAATGACTGGGCATTTTCGAAGCGACGGTACACACTAAGTTTGCAAATTGAACTAGCTATGTATATATATAATATTTATATATAAGATAGGTTTGTCACCTCTCGTTTACAGCATAGTACATCAGTATATAATGCATATTTACGTTTTCGTATTCTCCCTGTAACTCCCTTTTTCTTTTTCACACTTTTTCTCTTTCTCTTATTCTTGCACATATACATTCATACATATACACATGCATACATACATTCATTCAGATTTCTTTCTCTTTGCATACTCATGCCTTTTTAAATATATGTCGGTATTTTCGAGGGCTAAAGAATTACGATATATTCTGTCATACGATACAGTATCATTTCTCTCTGTTTCTCTCTCTCTCTCTTTCTCTCATCTATCTTTCTCTCTCTCTCTTTCTCGGTATATCACGTAGATCACTGGCAGATTTACGTTCCACGTGCACAAAGTGTACTTATTTTTTCTGAAGAAGAGAAATAACACACACACATACACACACACACACACACAGACAACATACACATACATAATCGTAGTGCACGCGCGTCAGCACATGGACAATTCTGTATTTTTTTTTATTTTTTTACAAATTAGAATCATAAATATTCGGATATTTGCATGTATTTTGGTTGAAACGATTTTAGTACACACTAAATACGCAGTTAAATAAATTTGCGATACCTTCTAAAAATTTATATGTCGACCTTTTAATATTTGATATTAAATATCTTATTAATTTAGCCTGGACTTATAAAACAAAATCTATTCGAAAATAATAATACTGTTTATTTGTGCTGTCGCTGTTTAATTATAATAAATAAACTCCCCGTATTTTAAATTAATCTTACAGTTACAGATACATCGTAAAATATTTGATAGAAATTTAAAAGAATATTAAAATTGTCCAAAAATTCTCCTCTTAAAGGGAAATACTTTTGCGTTGTTTGCGTCAGGAAAGAATGATATACAGAAGAAACAAGATTTTTTTTCATTTCTTCCATTGACCGGATTGCGCATTAACTCCAGCGTGACGTACGCGCGAGCGCCCGAAAATTATTAATTATTAATTATGTATAAAGATACAATCTCTCTTCACTCCCGATCCCTTCTTAGAGAAAAAACAAGTATTTTTTTTTAGCGTTTTCGCGTATGTATACGTCTACATATATATATAAGTAATATACAGTAAATTTTTTTATACAATTACGGAGAGCACGACGGGACGCTGCATGTCGCACTCGAGATCGTCATCATCGATCTCATCGATTCTCGCTTCACGGATTGCCTAAATTTTAGCGAAACTCGTTCATAAATGCTCGAGAGTAAATCTCGCACTTGAATTTCACATTCTTGGAATTTTCAAGCGCAAAAAATTCGCTCCTCGCAAGCTAGATTCGTCTCTCGATCGCATCGAAAGAAAGACTTAAGTAAGTAGAAACGGTCGGATCATGCCGGACGATCGCGCGTCCGATAAAGCGTCGAGTCTCTCCACTTCCGCCGTGCTCCCGCATTCGCGCACATGCGCCGCGTAAATCCTTCCGCGCGTACCCTTTTTTAAAGTTAGTTTGTTTCAAAGTTAAAGCTTTCAATGGATTTTTTTCGCTTTTTTTTCCGTCTTTTTACATTATGCTTACGTAACAACGGCACGCGGCTATCAAAGTCAACGAATTTTTGGTACGTCGCGTCGTCGCGTTGCGCTTTTAGTCCTAAAAAATGTGGCTCACAATTAGAGACACATTGAACACACGATAAAATCGATTCTTGCTTTCTCTTTTAAATAATATGAGCATCACAAGAATCGATTTTTTTTTATATATACGTTGCGTTTATTTCAAGTCATCGGGGGAGATTTACTACGATCAGGTTAAAATTTGAAATCGATTGCATTTAACGTTAAATGCGGATCGCGAAGACGCAACACACACACAGCCACGTTCTTTATCTCTTTTTTTTATTTCACTTTCTTTCGTGATTTATCGCTCGTACGTATTCGTTGAAACATTTACGCGTGATACACATACGCACATATGCATGCATACATAGACACAGGCCAGTTGTGACTCGCTTCCTACTTCGTCAATTTGTTCTGGGTTTCCGTCTCTTTGCTTTCTATTTTGCTTTTCCTCGTTTCTCCCCGCTTTTTTTTCTCTTTATTTCGTTTTTTCAATCTCTCCTTTTGATTTCTAACAGCCGTTTATAAGACGACGACGAAATCGCAAAAACGCGATAATCTTTTTAAAACAAAGCTGGGCGATTAGTATGTTGAATTGTAACTTGAACATGTAAACATCTTGAAGATGATTAAAACACACAGACCTTTCTACAGGATTACTATTTCTACGGAAATAGAAATTTGAATGACGTATATATGTACAAAATTATTTTGAAACAATTTAGAGAGAGAAAAAAAAGATAGAAATATAATTTATATAGAAAAAAGGTATGGCATTATTGATTAGATATTAATTTGAGAATTTAGAAATTTGTATTAATTAATTAAATTAAATGCGTTATGCATTTGTTATGTATTTATGATTTATACCCAGCAATCTTTTCACATTTTTATCGAATTATAGTGATTTATACTTTGAATTAATGATTTGAACAGCTTCGTATTTTCTCAGCCTTGATTGTTCTAATATTTTTCCTATCTTCTCCACGCGTTTCGCGTATCCTAGTTTTGTGAACGTGTAATATTAAGGCAACTCTTGTTACTAGTTAATGATTTATCATGTTACGACTTTTCTTCCATTTTTTCTTTACATTTCTCACGCGTTTTGCGCGAAAGAAAAACGTCAGCCTCGATTCCCAGATTTGCGAATTCTTCAATTTTTTTTGAGAATACAATTTTGAGAACGACGCGTGCGTACGTGTCGAAAATACGTTAAAATTACAACTGAATATTATTATTTAGTTAAAAATTTTAGAATTTTATAAAACTATTTAAATTAAAGCTTTATAACAATTCTATTTTATCAATGAGTCACAAAATCACGAACATTCATATTATAGTAATAATAATTATTATATTTATTTTGATTTAATCATATCACAAACACATCGGCCTTATATCAATATAAAATAGCTAAATTAAAAACTAACTTTAAATTAACTGACGACAAATTTATTTCCGCATTGATGACAATAAATAAAGAGAAATTAATTTTTATTCATTGCATCTTCATTATTCATAGAATTTCGCACAAATCAGGCTATAAAAAAATTCATCTTATTCCAATTTTTTTCTTTCATTAATTCGCGAAAAGTATGACGGTACGCGTACATGAGTGCACTGGAAACGATATGCGGAAGCATTCCGACCTGAAGAAATTGACGTTCTGCAATGATCTTCCGTCTTTTGTAATCTGCTAATCTCGTTCGTACCGCGACTGCACACACGCGCGTGACTTAATTAGACTCAGACTCGGATCAACGGGTTTAAATCTTTCGGGTATATTTATAATATGTTTTTTTAAGT